GGCAGAGGCTGCCGAGCCCGCAGAGGCATCTCAAATGGGATTTCTGTCACACCAGAGGGGATCTTGCCAGCAGGAGCCAGCTCCATTACAGTGTTGATCAAACTCATGGGCTAGAAGATTAAGTTAACGCTTAAAGCTTGACAATGTCTATAAAATACTCAGTCACAACTTGGTTTTCAAACATTTTTAAGCAGAATTACATATTAGGATCTACCGACCTTAATGCTATTAGAAAAAGCGTCAAATATGCCAACATTCTTGCTGCTGAGGTGCAGGCTGACGGCGCCCTCCGCCGCCAGCGCGAGCCCCTCGTGCCGCACCTCGCCGCTGCTTTCTACCACCACCACGCCCGCTAATATGTCCTGATCATACGACAGTTAATCACTTTGAATTTATTTGAATGAATTACGTATTTTCTATAACGAAGCCAACAAAAAGAATCGCTGTTTTGATTTCGGTATAAGTATTTGTTAAAGACTTACTCCTTCGTGGTAAATTTTACTAGCTTTTTTAAGCACAATATTTAAAGTAGTTGACATTGCTTTGTTAGTGTTTTCAAGCTGATGCTTATTTTAATTTATTGCGATAAACTTATAAACACTTTAATTCACAGCACTGTATTTCGTTTGTTACAAATTGTTGTTATTTACATGTGTGACAGGTGACAGTCAGATGTCCCTGATGTAACTTGTAAGACTGAATGTACATTTTGTATTTTTTATTGCTGTTTATTTATTAATTTTGATTTTTATGTTTTATTGGAATTTTTCTCGACTGTAAATTAATTAATACTCAAATTATTTTAAAAAATGCGAGTCATTTCTTTTTTTCTATTACTTACACTTTTCTACTAAAATATCCGAACTGTATTGTCAAAGACGAAACGGTGCCAAACCAAATGCATATAAAATTCAAATGTCAGTGTCAGTGGCTTATAAATGTCCGCTTGTGGCGGGTGGATGCGAACTCTTGTGATTTAAAATTTTACGATTTTATTTTTATTGAATATAAAAAAAGCTAATCGTGTGAATCAATTTGTAGCATCATATTGTATTTTCTGTTCAATTCCTATTAGTTTCGTAGTAATATAAATTGGAACAGGTGATGTCTACAATACGTGCACCCCGAATGGATCGATATTGGTGGCTTTGAGTTTATCACAAATTTTGTGTGAGGGTGGGGGTGGTTGAAGATGGAGAAGTCCGCGCGGCCGCGGACAGCACTTAACGAGTGCGTCAAGGTGGTGGTGCGATGCCGGCCACTGTCGCAAAAAGAAAAAAACGAGGGTTACGAGGAGGTAAGGTTACTAAGGTTTTAATCGCTGTGTTGACATTCCTGGAGTTGCGCAGACTTAGTGCGTTTAAACAAATAGATGGATAAACTTATAAACAATACAATTTTTAGTCGTAATAATGTTTTTAGATTCTCACTACATTGTGATAAAAAAGAATATAATTTGCGCAACTACGTATGTACCGCATAAATTTGAAAAGCTGTTTATACCACATTGTTATGTGCATACATGGACACAGAATATACAAACACCAATATTCATATGTGTTTAGATTAACAATTTCATAAGAGTGGTGCCTTGTTTGTGGATGGCAAATACTTCTGTATATGGTTTTATATAAAGATGCCTCACCTGACTATTGATCAAGATTCATTTGCAACTAGTTGATGTTTAATTTATACTAATTTACAATTACAACTATGTTAAACAATTACTAAACCAAATTAGTAGGCAAAAAGATCCAGCATTGTTTTATAAAGAGATAATGAACACACATTTCATTTTATTCATAGCTGGGTAACTTGTAATCTATGCTAAACATAGATTACTTTTGGTATGCAGATAACTGTCAAAATCTATTTAAGGTATCATTTGAAGGGATTGAATTGGAATTACCCTATAAAGTAAATAATGTGCTGCCACACTGTTAGCTGTGTAGCTTCGTGTGTGTTATATTCATATAGGGATAAAGTTTACAATTAGAAGTGTAAATATCTTATGTTCATTGATCACTAGTTTCATGATGTAAATTTAATTATGAATGTGTTTATTAGTAAAAAGACGATATCATTACAGAATAAAATCCTGTTGGAAACTACGTAAAATAGAAATTATGTCAGCCCAAATCAAAAATGATCGTAGCGAAAGTTTGCGATGTTTCCTATCCGCTATCGCTTAGTCTCAGCGTTTGATGTGCCGCGCGCAGTGGCGCCGCGCCCCCACATTCTCGGAATAAACGTGAGTGCAGCGAAATGTAGGTGAGCCTCGAAGTCCGAGTGTATTCTCCTCGTGGACCATCTGGCGTCTGCTTACTGCTGACCACAATCCTCTTCGCAATCCATAACACTCGAGGTGTCGTTTCAGATTAACAACTGCTTTTTATATGTTAAAGGGGACAGACCAACATTCAAACTATTAAGTCTGCGACATCCATGACATCCTCGATGTCACAAGAACCGCAAATACGTTGACGATCTACAACTGTGCATTTGTTCGAACTCTATTCTCAGTAATCTATTAAAGACTACTCAAAAGTTGTGTTCGGTATCGTTTTTCTTTTGTAACGACCGCAACACTCTGTCTTACAGTCAGCACAACTAGGCGGTGCTAGTCTGCAGCAAATAACCCCGACGTAATCTATATAACTTTAGTAATGTGACAGATTGTCACTGACCTCTTGCGAGTCTCGGCGTGAATTAGCATCAGTACCGGTACATCCGCTGGCTTCGCCGGGACATGTCTCCCCTCACAACAATTTCATTTAGCAGGAGGAGGTGAACGAACTCACGCCCTGCTCTTAGTTAAGGACAAATGTGTGGCAGGAAATTCGCCGACATCGACAATATAATATTGAAAGATGAATAAGCCACGGTGGAGGATAACCCACCTTCTGCCTACTGGATGAAATGGATGGAACCAGTTACTAATATTTTAGACTTGTTAGTTGCGATTATGTTGTTTTCTTTGCGTTGATTGCCTTAGAAGTTTGAAGTTGCTATTCATATTAAAATTATGATTTTTTTTATTTACAAACATAACGTATAGATCGATAATATTTATAAAACAATGTACGCACACGTGTATACTTAAAAGTAACAGCTTCACAATAATCATTGTTTGTGCGTCGCGTGGCGTCGCCACAACAACGTCCATCGCAAACAGCATTCTTTGTTGGCTGCCGCTGGCGGTGATGGTAATCTGCGATATACATATCTGTCTACCGCAATACCTTACAAGGTACTAGTACCTACGTAGATAGTATTCCGTAATGGCTCACATATAAAGTACGCACGTCTAATCTAAAACATTCCACTTGTAGTTGCAATTAAAAATCCTTCAATTACAACCATCACACACAAAATCCAATATTTCGTTTTTTAATCCGTCGTACCTGTGTGTACTTGACATTCAGATAAAATGTGGCAATAAATTACTAATGTTCTTTCATTCGATACGGATAAGATAAAAACAAGCGATACAGGTAAAAATAATGCGAATCAATTGTTTAGTTTTGTTAAATCATTAAAATGTACATACAAGTTACGTGCATTATTTGTTTGTGTGAAGATAACGCACATTGGCCGCGAGCGAGCGACTACATCAACTAGTTTTCCGTATTGTTATCGTGCGATTGATTTGTCTTGATACAGCGCAGCGCTGCATTCACCACACAATACACTAAATATACGGAACGCTTACCAAATTCAAACTCTAATAATTTCTTACATTCATACAAAAATATGTTAATTTCTACAAAAGAATACCATGCACATAGATTTACTTTGTTCACCAATTAAAAAAATCCTCCACATTTATAAACTTCACTTCCAAGCAGTAAATAAAAGAGACCTGTCCTAAATTTTCTGAACTTCAACAATTTTAACTCATTTAGTATTTCGTAAAATTTTATACTCATAAATAAACAGCTATCCTATACTTAGCAAGTCTGAGGCTGTTTGTTGCTTTTTCTTTAAAAGGAAATAAAAACCCCTCAGATTATTCTTAAAACAATGAAATACAATATGAAAAAAGCTAAAACACCTAGTGTCAATCAAAAAATGTATTAATATGCGTCGCTCGCTTGGTATGTGTAACATAGTGGGTACATTTTTGTTTATAAACGATTGCGGCCAATGTGTTAGTGATGAGTAAGCTTTCGCTGGTCAGCACTCATTGCTATTATTAATGTACCTGATGATCCACTCATGCGTACTCCTATACATGCAAAACGTCACACATTATAATTCTTACGCATAAGAACATTCGACTAGTAAGTTAAAAGACGAATAACATACCAGCTGTTGCTCACGACTTCGCCCGTGGTATGTTATGTTACTCACTGACAACGTAGCTTTATAATGGTAAAAGAATCTTTAACATCGGCCCAGTAACTTTTGCGTGAATCGAATACATACAAATATACAAATCTTTCCTCTTCATAATATTAGTATAGAAGTATCGATTGGTTAAAGTTAATCAATGGCGATACATCATTGCGTTGTATTGCTCTTTGCACTTGATGTGCTAAACATCTATAGAACACAGAGAATGTACATATTAGCAGAGTATTGCTGAGCAAATAATTAGCAAAACGATTCTGTGTCAAGTACCAGAAATGATATGACTCAGGATCATTTTCTTTCGTATAGACAACAGAGTGTTACTGACTGAAGCAAGCCACTGTAAAATTTTACACGAGCGAGGAATTGGATCTTTTCCAAATTTGTAGCACTAAAAGTAATTGAAGAAACAGACTTTTGCTATCGAAACGATCTCATATTTTGGATCAAGGTCACGGGTCTTCAATGTTAGTTCTCCTTATACTACGTGGTGATTTACACTATGTTTTAGTTGATTCCAATGTAAATGACAAACATGTAATTGTAAAACCAATTCTTTCTCAAATTAAAATTATACCTAATTGATTGTGTAATTTTTACATAAACAGGTAAATATTTATTGAGCAATCTGTGTGGCGACTAGGCAAAGCTCGTCCTACTGTGTCCGAATGCAATGTTTCATATGCTAATTGTGTTTGTCCTCCGGCTGTCAACTAGGTGCAAAGGAAACGACCCGAGCGCACGTGGTACGAGCGGCTCTCGACGCGCGCCAAAGAAGACAAAAAACTTATCGATGCTCCCTTGCAGGTGTGAGATCGGGAGAGGCACTAACTATGGCGGGTCGGGTCGGTGCGGGCGGCGGCACTACTGCATATAATCACTAACAATTCGCTTTCACTACGCACAGATGTCAAGTCGAATGTTCGTGCTGCAACTTTTATTCCTGGTTTACATAATGTCAGTAGTGCTCAAAATCCGAGCTAGCATAATGGCATGATGTATACACTAACTGGCGACAATAAGCCCATACCATGCCCGGTGTGCGCTACTGGCCATATATTGATTATAACAATTCTTCTAGACTAAAACAGTGAATAAGTATGCACGAACGGTCGGTTTGTCATTTGGCACTACAGACGTATTGATCATCTGGTAATGAACTGTAGACATTGCGACCATATAGTCGTTGGCGGTCGCACACCGTTGTCGCGTGTTTATTACGCGATCCATGTACCATATATCATTTGTTATTTTCTTTACTAATTCGTACGGTCATCGGACAGGTTACTAAAAATACTGGGAGCTGTTCTCATTGAACGTTTATATGATTAATTAATGGTGAATGGGACTAGTCATACTGTTATAGTTAATCCTTAGTTAAGCTTCGTCTAGTAAATTAAGCAAATAATAATAACTAACACTAAATATAATTATAGTTAAATATAAGATGGACTTGATGTAGAATTTATCCGGATAGCATAAGGTAGAATGTTCTAGAATGTTGCAAGAAGTTCTACAAAGAGTTTTTGTTGAATTAAATTGTATACAAAAGAAGTTTTTGTATGAACCGTTGGAATTACAAAAAGTGTCGGAGCGACGCCGGCGATACAGGCCATTGTTGTGTGCTGCCGAGGCAAGTGCTCGGTGCGCGAGCCCGCCGCCCGCCGCATGGTGCACACCACATAGGGAAAGGATTTTGGAGATATCTTTGGATATCTATGATGAATCACCAAGAAATGATCGTAAAATACATTCCCTAAAATTTTAAAAACCAATTTCATTGATAGAATTAACCCGATGACTTGATTTCCTTTTTAAATTGTTTTGTGTTGAGGTTGCGTACTCGCACAACTGGTCTATTTAACGCGTGGTCGGCGTCGCTCAAGTAAATACTAACGTAATGTTACTCCTAATGTAGATGCAACATGTATCGCTTGAATGATAATCAAACAAACATGTTTTGTGGTAAATTCTCACCAGAGAAACTAAAATATTACTCAAGCCACTTAATATAATGTAAGCTTAATATAGTTATCATTGAGGTATATTGTTTAATTTGGCGTGCGGGGGTGTGCAGGTGGTGCGGGTGTGGCCGGAGCGCGGCGCCGTGCAAGTATACAACCCCAAGGGCGAGGACAAGCTGTTCACATACGATGCCGCCTACGACTGCAGCGCGGACACGCAGACCATCTACGACGAGATGGTAAGTACATCATACAATTTTATCTTCATTTCGCAAGTTAACAATTGGTTTACACTTCCTAAAGCCTTGGTTACTAATTAATAATTTGAAACGTTAGTATGTAATGATTTGCAAACAAACTTATTTGAGGAGCATTAAAGTGAGAGCTTACATTGTTCAAGTAACATTGTTGTAGCTGCTAGTTGTTTTTCTTACACCATTTTAATACCCAAACCGGCTATTAATAATAGAAAGTTATATGTACTATTTATCCTAATTGTATGTAATTATTCTTGTCTCTCTAATGTAATCATTTGTGATAAAGTTTCTATAACAATAAAGGTAAATTATCAGGCATAATATAAATACAAAATTGCTATATGTATTACGCAAACATTTAGCCGAGTTCAATGACCTTGCTGAGAGAAATTGTCCAGAATTCGCAGATGAAAAAGTGTCGCAGCGCACGCGCCGCCGAAAGTCGCGCATACCCTGCGCACACGTCGCGCCTCATGCGTTCCTTGTTATTAAGATGTAGTACCTAAAATGATAAAAATAATATTAACTCACGCTCATTGACTTAAAGAATAATTAGTATTCGTGTTATATAAAGTTAAATAAAAATAAAACGTACTTTCATGTGAAATAGATACAGCAATAGATTAAGAGCCGCTACTGGATTTGTCTAGCGGTTGGCACGCCGCCGTTTCATCTTTCTATTGTGTTCACATTCCTATTGACAAATACATAGGTTTATAATTAAACTTTGAGCGTAAGCTAGTGCTCCTGCGGGCCGCTGAGGAATTTGCTCCGAACATCTCCGCTCCGGTAACCTAATTGTATCAAATAGCTGGTATGCGGGATGCTTGACGCGAGCTGTGGCTCTGCTTGTTTTTTAGAAATACTTGCCTTAGCTGCGATGTTCAAGTTTAATCTAAACTGTAATATTCTAAAAGATATATCTGATAGGCACAGATTCGAGCGCCTTATAAATTAACGAATTTATTGTTCCACAATTTTATTATCTTTTTTCACTCTAAACATTTTTATTTAAAAAAATAGAAGAAAATAATTTATAACGTTGTATATTGTGCATTTATAAATCTAACCTTCAAGTCCCAAAGTTATTTATTATCAGCTGAAGTAAAAATGATCAGTTTAGTGCAGGCACGTGGGCGCGTGTGGGCAGCCTGCTACCATGTCGAGTCACTCTGCCGCTGCCCAACGCACAAGCCTCATTGTTATTTTTTTAGCTGTCGACATTTAAAGTTATAATAAAAACTGTAAAAGGTCACACTAAAGTATTGTTAAGTAAACTTTGTATCGTATGCCAATTTATTTACGGATTTAAAATCGAGGTCAATGTACTAAAGTCGCTCAAATAATGAGCAATCCAGTTTCTGGGAGTTGTCCTTACAAAGTACACGAAGGACCTGATTTTTTTTGTAACTTAACTTTTTTTTTTAGTGTCATTATCGATACTTTAACTAAAAACAATATTTTGTATGTAAAAATTATAATTTCAGGTTTATTCATTTACATTAATTTGCAGATAATTCAATGTCCATCAAATTTGATCGTGCAAAGCGTTTATTCCCAAATGTCTGTTTACACTGGCAGACACGGTCAGCTAATAAAGTGTATGCATGCGCTCGCATTGTTTAAAAAACACAACAATAACAGCAGGCGCGTGTTAATGGCGGATAACGCTGCATTGCGTGTCCGCGCACCCGTGTTATACATTCTTCACACCAAATAGATAAATATTTATTTGATCTTAGTAGATTTCATACAACTGAGTAGTGTCAGCTGTTGCACATGTTTACTATTGTAAATATAAAAGATTCCAATGTCACGCTTGTGATCAATGAGGGGTAAAATTGCGAGTGAAACACGATCCGCGTCGCCGCCAGACGCGACCACCGATTGAGCAATGCACTAAACGCAACTTAATATGCATAAAAACAAATAATCGGGGCCGCAGTGCACCAGCGGTTGCACTATTCTACTCGTAGTTCCAGTAACGTTACTTGTTAAATAAAGTGATTTATTTTGGTTTTAAGAAGTTTGTTGTTGCACAGTTAAATTGTTCTTGTTCTTGTTCTTGTAAATATCATATGTGTAATATTCTGTTACATGAATTAATTAAATTATTATTATTATTATTATTAAATGATAAGCTGATGATTGACGATGTTCAATACCAATTTTGATGTTTGCATCAGATCTCAAAAGTACACTATTCATAATATCTTGAAATGGATGCTACGCCCCGAGTTTTATATAATTGGATCGAGAGACATTGTGTTGGGATTTGTCATACTTCTTATTTAGGCAGTCGAGTTGGCGAGTTGGCGAGTAGAAATTGCTCATACTCGTATGCCGCGCGCTCCCTCCCCCTGCCCCTTGATCCCCCGATGCCACAAAAGCAGTTTATTAATTTATTCACGTGAACAGACTTGTACAAGCATAGATGACTTGTGCAGATTAAGGTAATCGCTACATTAGCCTTTGGTCTTCGTTAATGTGTAATTCCTCGTCTTTAACTTTTTACTATGTATAAAGGCTGCTGTTTCAAACCCATTGCGTAGCTAATTCATTTGCACATTCTTTTACAAAACTACGACAACACCTTGACTGCCAAAAATGGTAAGCTTCTTTACTGTTGTCTGTGCATGGCCGTGCTGCGTCTGGAGTGACGCTAAGGTATTGTACTAAAACGAGCACGAGCGCCGCGCGTCACTTGACAATGGCTCGTCAAATGTCCATTGTACACGCCCTCTCCTCCATGTAAACATGGACACGCGCTACAGTCTCACGTGTCAACAATATAGGGGACAACTGTTATGGTACACTATGGATGTAAAGTTCAACATTATTGATTTGTAGACATGATATAGTAACCACGTTATAATTTATTTAAAGCAAATAACATGATCTACATACATTACTCTACGGTAGTGTAAGTTAATGTTTTGTAATTAGTTACTATTAGCGTGAGTCACATAAAACGGAGTAGATTCTACCGTGTCCTCCGCTGTTAGAGAACGTGAAGTGGAACCTTGCACCTTGGTGAGGTCCCGCAGCGGCGGCGGCGGCGGCGGCGTGCTCGTGACTCAGCGGCGGTGGGCGCCGGCCTTGCAGCCAACACAGCACAACAACCGCCGTACAAGCTGCCGCACGCTCGCTCACATTTACCAAAATTGGTTGCCAAAGGCCAATATCTGTAACAATATTCATCTGCATATTTTGTTGCTTATTATGGAATAGTAACAAAAGTTTTTATTCATGGCAATTGTGCGTATTTTTGATCTTCATATTAATATTGTTGCAAGTGCGTGTGAGCGTAATTAGGACAGTTTATAGGTCCAATACGCGGCGCGGTCGGTGTTGTGACGTTGCGGTTTCACATAATATCGTGTGAACGAGCGCCAGATATACTGCTAGTATCATTACAGTGACGTCACGTAGTTTTTGCTTTACTACAAACAAGTTGTGATTTTAAATGTGACCTTGGGCAGCACGGGAGAAGCGCAGGCCGCAGACAATACGACGGCGGCGGGCTCTGGGGAAACGTGACATCACTGCGAGTCTTGTGCTGCCTACACGTTGTTTCTTTTTACTAACCTGATTTTGATTCATTTTTAAGTTCACATTAGTCTCACGATATCTTTTTAATTTTCCTTATGGCAGTGACTGTAAACTTTGTCAACATTAGCATGTTGGCTTTAGATGTGTGGTGAGGTCCACTTGCCCAGTGCTGGGTCGCGCCGCCTCGCCGCCTCGCCGCAATGGCGCCGCGCGTGTCGTAATATAACATCGATTGTCAGGATTGTGACGTCATGCCAATGTTGAGTTATTTTAGTGGGGAATGAGTTCTTTTCATGATCTGTTGTAAGATTTGTTTCATCTGATGCTGACGTGTCACTCATTCTGAATTAAACCAGTAGATATTTTAAGATCTGATATGTACTTTAAATCTGATCTAACCTCAAACCGAGACCTTGTCTGCAATTGTTTAATAAAGGCAATATGCCTCATCGTTTGTGACCCACATTTGGTTGCAATTGCAATTACCAACATTTGCTAACAGCGCAAGTAATATGTGTTTACTTCATGACAACAAATCCTAAATAAACTAGGTTCGCGTTCCCGCGGACCCGCGTTCTGAAACTATGAAACTTTAATATAAAAGGGCTTTTTGATACATAAAGCTCCGTAATTAAGCACACTTGATTCAGAAGGCATTTTCATGTGGAATATTTGGCTTGTCACGTTCAAGGGTAAGTGAATAAATCACTTCACCAGAAGCACTGTTCTGTAGCAATGCATCTTTTCACAATCATTAATTAATTATGCAATCCGGTACCGTAACAAAAACAAACATACGTAATTAATTAACGTACGTAATTAAACGTTAGTACGTAATTGTATTTGTTGCGCTTACTGATGTCGCGCATGCTAATGCCTGGTATTGTGAATGAATGCGCGAATTGCTGCGCTCGCTAAATATAGTGCGTGTTGCCACGCGCTTGAGCCCGCGTCGCTGACTCATGCGCACATGTCGCATGCGCTTTCTGTGCGCAGCACGCGTCTCCCAACTCCCCACCATCAAGAGAAGCCAATGTACTTGTTCATCGTTGCCGCTGAGGAAGTTGATGCAAACAACGCCACTCGATTTTATATACACATTCCATAACAAAGTATACTCGTATGGATGCATTCTGATTTTGACAAATAGCAAATTAGATTATTGACTTGAAATGTGATGAAATTTATCTCAGACAGAAGAATATTAGGATTGGACGTTTCAAAAGTTCGCAGCTATACTATATTCATAATAACAATTATACAGTTTTTATTAATTGTTATGTGCGTTTTAAAACTAGACAGACTGGTTTCGCACTCGGACGCCACTCGATTATTGGCTGCAACATCAAAAATACAAATCTTTCCTCTTTATAACATTAGTATAGATAAACAATAGCCCGGTCAATATTTTTTGAGTAAAGGTGCCCCCCGCCAGCACTAAGAGTCTCGCACACAACCCTCCCGCGGGGCCAATAAGTTTCTCCTTATATGTATTGTTCACTTTACAAATTATTTAAGTAGATATTTATTTTGCAATATAAGACAAATACTGGTTTGTCCACGACAGAAAAACCTTTTATTTTTATCTTAAACTCGGCGCTGACCTCCGCTCAGTCACCATATCGCATCAAAATCATATTCCTTATTAAGTACGTTATTTGAATATGATATCTAAGTAGTAGATTTTAAGTCAACATTGAAAGCCTCGAAAAATGACACACAAAATAATGCTCATTGTTAACACTTCAACTCTAAGCTCTAATATGATTTGTTGTGTTATGTTATGTGTGCAGGTGCGGCCGCTGGTGGCGTCCGTGCTGGATGGGTTCAATGGGTGCGTGTTCGCGTACGGGCAGACGGGCACAGGCAAGACTCACACGATGGAGGGCACGCCTCAGGAGGAGGGCATTATCCCGCGAGCTTTCCGCCACCTGTGGGCCCACATAGAGACCTCCGCATCGCCCGACGTCACGCACCTCGTCTCCTGCTCCTATGTCGAACTCTACCTCGAGGATGTGCGCGACCTGCTTGCCAAGGATTGCAAGAAGCTCACCATACGCGGACAGGTCAGACATCTTATGTTTCTTACACTCTATACCTTTCATACTGTATTTCTGTTTGTAAGTGACCACTGGCTCCATTGCACACTCGTAAAATTAACATTTTATTTCTCATAATATTTGATCACTTTGCACACAACTGACACCAAGAAACACAATCCGATTTAATCTGAAATGAGTCATCATTATTCTCTCGCGTGGAAAATTATTCGTAAATACAAGTTTGTGTCGTATGCTGCAACTCGGCAGCCGGCTGCTGTCGCGACAATCGTGCAGCCCAATGTAACAATAGCCGTAGTATCGTTTAATTAATTGGTAAATATTGACTTTTACTGATAATTGTGCACAACGGAACAGCGTACGACTGCATTGCAGCTTGCCAGCGATACAGGAGCACTTTGATCTTGTTACGGATTTACGAGTAATATAAAGGTCACATAAACAAACGCCAATCAAATGTTAATTTTGCAAACGTGTTTTTCTCAGAGATACTGTCACTAACGGACAGTCTTCTATTTCTAAACGACAGTCACTATTTGCCAACGGAAATGAGTTCCGCACAAATAAAGATTCATGCAGTGTAATGAACTAGGCTGAATCATTTCGAGAATGCAAGTGATAACAAGACTCTAGTCTCGGTGCCAGGCGAGTGACAATGTTTGTGCCTATGTCGAGATAGCGTGTCTTCCGCCTCAGCCTCCTGCGACATGACGCAAGTCCATTTGCACAGTTACGTGTCGTGTGACACAATACTACACAAAATCACGCAAGGTGACACAAGGCTGGCCGCTAACGCCGATGTAATGTTTACATCCGAGCTAACACATAGGTGTCATTTACCGAAATGTTATTTAGTTAGGTTGATTGATGAGGGTATATACTTCCCTACATGAGATATAAGTTCAAAAGCGAACTGCTACGATAAAGTTATTCTTTTCGTTCCGGCGCCAAATGTATTAAATAAACAAATAAACGAATATAATATTGTTAATACAGTTGCTTTGCTGAGACGCGCATCTGGAAGTGTATCGCTGTGACCTTCACGATTTGATTGTTTTATATGTATTTTCATAGTCAAGACAAAAACGATGAACTTGATGTAATACTAGTCCAGTACGTATAACTGTCTCTGAAAAGGTGACATTCTAAATGTAGCTGTATTGTGACGAATGAAAATAGCACTGATTGAACATCCAAAACATCTTCGTGTTGTTCGTCGATGAGTTCACAGTGTGTATTAGTTATTAACTCGCACACAATGAGACTAGTGTTTTACTCATTTACACATTGTTAACGTAATCTGCATTCGGACGATGGACAGATAGAAATAGCTCATCTTATTGTTTTTATTTCGGCTACAGAAGACAAGTTACATGTAATCAAACAATCACACAAACAATCTAAGTTTTCTCGTAAAATATTAAACGTTTAACAAGGACAGAACATTACCATACAATGTGTTTTACTTCCTGCAGTTTTGCTACAAGTTCGCGGAAACGCAAATTTTACTAAATTGTTTTTAACATGGAGCAAATTTCGTTATTGAAGAATAAGTCGCGGAGGTTCTCTTTAACGTTTTCATAAAAAGAAATCATCGAGTCAAATTTTGTATCTGTTACAGTCGAAAGCGGTTTTATTTAATTTTTTCATAAGAATCGGCTCGATATTCGGCAGCGTACTACTTTAATCAATTCTCTCAGCATCTCCGCTAAAACGCAAATAACATCGATCTATATAAGCTGTTCCCGAATATTTCAAAGTTTATGTTCTAAATATTACGTAGCCGAGTCCGTAAATAGACAGGTATTTCTGTATTTACTTATTGAGCGTTAAAAATAAACAGTTTACAGTTAAATTTAGCGCAGGGATGTGAACTAGCTTTAAGCGAATATTATGAAGGCAGGAAGACTGTCGCACGCCTGACGACGCGAAATTTGTGGGAACTCTCCCGGTGTAATAGTGCTAATTTACGGCAACATTACGAGTGTCGTGCGAACGCAAGCGGTGCGTCGTGCGCTCAGCGCTCCGAAGCGTGCGCGTTAATTGTCACTAATTAACATTGCGTCGCGTACTTTTACTTCATCAAACACATTTTTAGGATTATCTAAACATTTTACCTTAATATTGATTAGACATATTTTCTCCAACTGATTTCTTACGTCTCCTAAGTCAGAATTCAGTCTGTTTTAAAGTTGAAAATTGCAAATCAGTAAAACCTCTAGCAAGAATACAATCATGATTTACCAAAACACATGGAGAACTTTGTCTTAGTCAGGCTTCGTTGTAATCTGAATCTTAAGATCGATAGGATAGAGTATAATTTAAGTAGTCTGTGTGTAGTTTAATTAAGGTAACGCATGTAACCTTGTGCAAATGTACATCTGTACAGATACAGATACAGACGGTGCGCAAATTGTACAATAGTGATGTTATGTATTTAAAACATTATGCAGAAGTCTGGTAGATATAGTGCATCTAGTTTATGTTTTATGTTGAGTGGCGATGCAAGTGTGTCACTGTAGGCAGGCTCTGGGCGGACTGTCGCTGGGCGCCGGTGAAGCCTTACATCCAGCGGGGGATTTACAAAAGCCTTAAGTAATAAATTTTGCATACCAAAGTTATTGTTCAAAATTACTTTTGTAGTTATAAATATACAATGGAAAAAGTAAGCTTCATTTACGTATTTGTAAATTAACATTTGTATGCGATCATATTTGTCTTGATATATCTCGGTTTTGTTAAAATTAATGTCTTTGCCAGTGTCGACGGAGCGTCAGTTGACGTCACCTTTGCCCTTGTTACATAATGACAGACATAAAGCAATAGGAATATTATATTACCTTATTTTTATTGCCGTAAGTACGACTAAACAATGTCGTCTTGGCCAAGCCGTTAAAACTCTTATTTACTTTTTAATATTTTATGCGTGGAATATAAAAAAATAACAAATGAATCTTCCCAATTTGTTTAAAAATAAATTTTATTTTAAGATATCGATAGGATAGGTGGTACATGCCTATACGCCGCGTGCGATTGTGCAAACTCGGTGTTCCTCGCGTAACACTTTACTCTCACCTTACGCAACCCCCTGCATCCAAACACGCCTGTAGCGGTGGTGTGTCGGCTAAGATCAAGGTTGTAATTACCCATTGATTGGCAGCGGCGTGCGCGAGTGTTTGGTGGTCGTTACCACGGCAACACGACTCCGTACCTCCACACAGACCCGTACAAAGCGCACTTGCATGTCTACAAAATGATAAGATCTACGATAATAGTAAACTTGTTCCTTGTAACGTGATGGTGTTCGTATTTTAATTAACTCGTACACAAAACGGTTTTTTTTTTAATCTATCGCTTTATGTCGATTTTACGTTTGTATATAAAAGTAAATTATTAGCAAGTTTCTCGAACACTGTCCGTGATATTTGAATACATTAGTATTGATTATTAAACATCAAAAGCGCACTGCGCAGCACTCTCGCTACAGAATTGTTTATTTGGATTAATGTATTGCCAAATATTTGTAATGTTCTCGTATGAACGTAATGAGATCCGGCAATTATAAATATGTTGCTAATTATGTTCCGCGGAGGATGTTCGTTAGATGGAGGAGTGCGGTCGCTGTTTAAACAATAATATTTATTGCGTGTAAGCTGACTTTCTCTTTGCGATTCACGTGAAATGCGATATACTCACGTGCAAAATTTTGCAAATAGTATTTATAAAAACATTTACTTAGGAAATAAATATTGTAACGAGTGATCGAGTCACTCACTCATTTGGCAAACGTTCTGAGACCACAAGTGACGGACACGCAGGAACACATACGTTACTGAATTGATATTACTATTTGACTGCTATATACAATTAAAAATGTGAAAAACATTGAATCTCGGAAGCATTTGCAAGGTCACAGTGAGTAATGTGGCGCATTGCCAAATCATTCGTTCGATAACTTGCAGAGGATGAATGGATGAGATGAAGTTGTGACGTAATGTGTTGCAGGAGCTGAACGGGTTCTACATTCCGGAGATGACGTCTGTCGTGTGCCGTTCCGCGGAGGAGATGGTGCGCGTGATGCGCGCGGGCAGCCGGCAGCGCGCGGCGGGCCGCACCGACATGAACGAGCACTCCTCGCGCAGCCACGCCGTCTTCCTCGTCACCGTCGAGACAGCGCACCGCACCACCAAACGCATACGGTCAGTCTATACAACTCTAACTCACTCTCAAAACATATTCAACTCTCAGTTGTCTTGTAATTTAAAAAACTTTATATTTTTTAATGTTCAGTGCACTCTCATCTGATCTAATGCATCGTTAGGTCCTACCTACAAAAAGGGTTTCGGAGGTCTTCCCTTTTCGCTATATAACGTTTAGGTGTACAATTTACCCCTGTCTAGACGCTAAATTACGTTGCTAGGTGTTCTCTGCGGAGTGATACTGCAGATGGGGTTTTCTTTTGTTTTTCGACAGAATTTATATCCATTTAACGCTTACGTATTAAGTTTAAATGTATAACTTTTAAAACCTGGACATAAAAGTTGCAGACCGTATCTAAAATATTCTTAAGTGCAGATGTCTAGACTTTCGGAAGTTAACGTCTCAAGCAAGTAAAAGTAATGAGAACTAAACCACGATGGCAATGAATAACCGTTATTGATGTCTCAAATTGTACTATCAAATATAATCTCGTTTTGCCCACTTATTATGAACTACTTAATATTTCAATGTCACTGAGGTGACCTCCGTCACGTCCGTGTGTTGTAAAACTGTAACATGGGTTCAGTGAGTGGTACTTAACTCGCCGGCGCCCGAGGCACGCCGCTGAGTAAGCAATTAGATGCTCGCCGCTGATTCATTACCGCCAGTCCTGTCTCCTCTCTGTTTTCCGTGAAGATTTTTGGTACATTGCACATTTAAGAAACCCTTTATACCCCACATGAAAGTTATTATTACAAGTTTAATGAACGCCCAGCAGTTAATAACATAGCGACATATAAACAATATTAAAGCCACTAGTCTGCTGTTTTGTGCACTGTATTTGTGAGCTTTATGCAACGAATGCAAAGCTTTGTAAGATACAAAGCTCTTGCCTTCCAGCGCCGGGAGCTAACGTTGCCGATTGGCTTTTGTTAAGTACGAGCTTTTGGACGCTTTTTGTAAATCTTTATTATAAAATTCGTAAACTTTTCTTTTCCCGCATCATTTTCAACTTTTGAAACAAAAGTCTTGTAACCAAGGCCATATTGTGCAAGCACAAAAAGATCGTATATTTTGGTTTCGCTACTAAGATTAAGTAGATAGTAATTAAGTGAGCCGTGTCATAGTGTCTCAAAATACAGCTAAATCCAAACAGTAGTGAGTAATATTGCGCACGTGCAAAACAATGTGATTAGTCAAATAAAGACAATTGGTCACGGGAGCAATGTCCCACCGGTGTGGGCAGGGGGCGTGGGCAGTGAGCTGAACAGTGGGCGAGGAAGCCCAGTTGCTGGTGATGCGCCCTCGGGACGCACGCCCTTGTATTCCTCTTGACCTTAAAGGTCCGTCTAACGTGCTCGACCTTGTAACTTTATTTGTGTTTAGACTATGGATTTTGACGTGTGAATGTGCGTGGAAATACAAGTTAAAACTGTTGACAGGTACAATTTCAAAACCAAGGAAGTTTTTTTATCAATAAGAAATAGTTACAGGGAAACAATCTCTCAGTCTGAGTAACTCGGCCCTGAGCCAATGTAAAAACTGAATCGTTAGCGCGGCCGTTTATTAGTCTGAAGGTAAAGTCATGAAAAGCATGCGCGTAATAAGATTTCCACAAGGTTAATAGTATTTCTTGAAATACTTACTGTAATACGAGTATGTTGCATAATACAATTCCTTAGCTCTTTATAACATTGACCGAGAGATGGGGGGTCTATTTGCAGCGCGGCCGGCAGACGCCTGACGCGAGTCTCGGTCTACGCATGTCAGTCTGATCTTGACGCACCTAGTTGATGTGGATGACGTCAGCTTTCTGACGCAGTGTCAATCGATACTAGCGAACGTTAGTACTCCTGGGCTCTGGCCGGTCACATAGCGAAATTATAATTTGATTCCTTATCTAAGATACGGCAGCTGTTGCAAAGAGAATGTAATGTTTCAAATTAAAAAAAAAACATAATAATGTTTTGTACATTGTGGCAGACCGCGTGGTCTGTTGCCGTCATTTCAAAAGTCACCACAAAAATACATTATCTCTAAAAATTACGATATCATTGAGACATACTAATTTCGTAACGATGCCATTAAACCTCACCTATTGGAAACACGCATCGTTCACAGCAGGCTTATGGAGACGTAAACAAATAACGCCATAATATAACTAATTATTGATACTCTTTATTCATAGATGTATGAAGTTTTTGTTGGCACTTTCAAAGTAAAAAGAATTCAGTCATGTGCATGGTCACGTTCAGAATTGTAGCGTGTGTCCTCTCGCTGGACAATCCAGTGCAGCGTCAGCAGCGATCGAGGAGGAACCAGTGGTGCGTGAAGGTCGGCTCTCGACAGTGACGCCGCCGGCCTTGAGCCCCGCTGCCCTCACTCACCACTGCTTTCACCACAAATGTTCTAAAACACGTATATCCGTGCAACAGATCATTCTAAAATATATTGTGATTGATCAAGGTCTGTCAAAAATACAGTGGTGAGCCGAATCATATAAAGTGAAGTCACCGACATAAACGTTTTACATTATTCTTTAAATACTGTGTATTGTAAGAGATTTAAGTATGTAAAAAGTTGTTTAAATGTATGACAGGCGACTGACGTCCGATTTCACCTTGACCTATTTAAGAAGATGCGGAGGAGCTGATGGTCACACGTGGGCGTGGGCAACTAATATGCTTCTATGTGTCATATAATTTTTTTAACTACAAGGACCCAGATTATCGCATTATTTACTGTGCATGGCCAATATTCAAAGTACTTTAAGGTATAATTAGTGATAACATTGTAATGATAGCACAGATAAGAAGGCGATGGTAATTGCTATCGTTGTGCTATCGATTCTTTATCAGCTGCGGCTGCGTGAGCGCCGCCTCGACCTCACCTGCTATTGCTACTCTATTATATTAATTGTATATACATTCTATTCATTGTAAAAACATACTCGTCCAGTCGTCAGTGTTCCCGCAAAATTTCGACCCGAAACCGCGCGAGGGCGGCTCAGTCCGCGCTCCACCCACGCCATTGAACTTGACATTTCCCGCACTAACTGTACCAAGTCACCGTAGATGACTTATTAGTAAACACAACAAACTTGCCTATATGTTAAACCTATAAAACATTTTCACACAACACCGAAAACGTTTTTTTTTTCAAACTAAGGATTCTTTACCGTTTGGTACCAATGAGCCAATGTGTAAAAGTGTATTGTTTTAAAGCTGCAGGGGTTACATAAAACATCCACTTCAGCAGCCCTCCGACAGCCCTCCGACAACACGCGGCGAGGTGCACTTGTCACAAAAAAAAAACATACGTTACGACAATAAACATACAAATATTTGTTAAGTAAAGTTAAAACCTCCAGTTTAGTTTATTTACGAGCTTTAGGAAACCGACAGTAAATGTCACATTTACGCAACAAAAAAGTAAATAAACAGATGTTAATGTTTTAACACGAGACTCGTTATTGGCTGAGCGAAGGCACTCGTCTGTTCTTAAGCAAATTGTAAAGTTGTTAAATGTATGCAAATATGTACATCTTATGTCCTTGTTATCTGTATTTTTTTTCCTTGAAACTTTGTAAAACGAACACAAGTACGGATACATGGCATTAAATTTGCTCTCATTCGGTTTGAAGTACTGATTTCTTACGTTCTTGGTAATTACACTAACATCTATCCAACTAAAGTCAATAGAACATAATTCTCAAGACACGTTATTGCTGGCACCGCGTTTAACTTATTGTATCGACACATGCAACTGATCTTCCTAATAGTTAAGGTACTTTTACACACGTGTTAGCGTGTTGACCAATTATCACCTGCGAAGGTTCAGCTTGTTTGCGTGTCCGTGTGTGATCACTTCCTCCATTCCTTGTGCAACTCAGTAGCAGTATAATATTTAACTATACGATCACGTTTTATTACTAGATGTATTTACAGTTTCCTTAATATTGTTTAATTGTTGCACAATAAAACTGCAACATGGAGGTCGTATTACCTTTAACAATTTGCACCCCGTAACGCTGACTCATTTGATCACCTCTCCACCTAACACTCCCGGCGCGAGACAGGATGCACACCTGTCACCTTGAGGTACACGGCTCATTGGCCACTAAAATATGGCGATACTAATGATATTAGGAAATTAAATTTTGGTATACTATTACTATGCAAAAAAATACTGTCTTTGTCAAAATTACCGAAACACGATGAATTCTGTTTAATTGCTATTTTCCATCCGTCGGCACAACCGTAAATTAGTTGTTATTTATTGTTGCTGTTTATTTTCTAGTTTACGTATTGTAACAGTAGTACAGAAAGCAATAGTGCACAATGCGGGTAAAGTGGAACAAAGTAGTTGATAAGCTGCCCCATTACTTCAGGAGCGTGCCTTATCAGCCGCCTCCGATGGTACCAACGTCTGACCTGATACCCGACGTCTGAACCACGCTGTTGCAACTTGTACTGCCTCTACAGTATATTAGTGTATTAACATTAATTCTGAAATTTTATATTATTATTTTAACTGTTAAAATATCATTTTACTTTATTCGCCCCCAATTTTGCGTAGACTCGAGCCCCAGGGTTGATGTATAACTATGTGATTCGACGAAAAAATTGTACAAAACAAATAATTCACCATTCAAAGGCCTTAAAATAAACACACAAATAAAGGGTATAGTGAAGGTATATTGAGCAATAACGGCGGCCAGGCGCAGTAATAGCATTGAATAGCGCTGGGTCCGGAGGGCGCTCGCCGAAGGCTTAGGGTCGCTTCCAGCCCTCCACAAACACAATTCAACTCTCCACACACTTCAGACTCGGGCCAATTATATCAAAATACACTCTGTATTTATATTTTTGTTGAAAGTCAAAGGATGAAGTGCCTGCTGCTATTCTATGAAAAACCATATTATAAACCAGCTAATTAAAACTTTTGAAATGATTGTAAAATAGAATAGGTCCGATTGATGTGGACTAGGCCGATATAAGACAATTGTAATTGTCGATGACGGCGCCGCAAAGAATCTGCCGCTGAACATATTACAATACTGATTGTTTCTGCTGCGATTTAAAAAGTAATTTTGGCGTATGAATGATATATTGACGTAGAGAATGTCTCTATTCAAGGCACGCGTATTGTTGGACAGTTTGTTATCGGTACTGTTTTAAATATTGGCTAAAGACAATCGAATTTATAGGTCTCAAGCAGCCATGCGGTTGCGGGGGGAGTTGAGGGTTATCGAGTGAAACCCAGTGCCAACTGCTAGCTTTAAAAGTCTGATCTTTGGCTGGTACCTTATGGATTTATATTATTTACAGAATTGCTGACACCAGCGCCATCTATTTCTAATATGTGCATCACTGAAATCTTGCACAACTAAAAAAATAGTTTTCTAATTAAAACGATTGTCCCTAATGAAAAGCTTTGGGACGCTCCTCATTCGGGCGCACTTTCCGTTACCCGCAAGAGATAAACTGCACATGTCTGAATGTGGTCTCAAAATGAGGTCAGTTGTTTACAAGTGAGGGCACTGCCATGTCAAGTGAGAAAATAACGATTTGGTTTTGAATCATTTTATTTTACCTTTAAAAAAATAAAAAAGGAATAAGTAACTATTGGGTTAGTGCTCTTGATTTCTAGTTTGCAGGTAAATGTGTCCAAATTATTCAATATGCATGTATGTGTGTATGTGTGTTTGCAGGGTGGGCAAGCTGAACTTGGTGGACCTGGCGGGCAGCGAGCGACAGCGCAAGACGGGCGCGTCGGCGGAGCGGCTGCGCGAGGCGGCGCGCATCAACCAGGCCCTCTCCTCGCTCGGCAATGTCATCTCCGCGCTCGCAGAGAACAGCCCACATGTGCCCTATAGGTATGTGTCCATGCCCGCCACACGCACGACACACGCACAACAAACACCCACGACACGCCCCCGACACGAATCATTCTATTCCGTCAGTCACATACATCCGGCTAGACATAGCACAAACACCTCAATCTTAAATTCAGTTTGTTCATTTGACAATTTGTTTAGTTGTACACAAACATCCATCTTCACTTTCATATTGCGACTACACGTACGAGTAGTCAGGCTTGAGCCCGGCCGTGGCCGCTCCGGTCCCGAAAGTTTCCACTGCCAATACACCTACATACGAGTATATATCAGTAGTTATCTCACTGTTTTTAGTAGAATGTGAGGGTTGACAACATGTTTTTACTCGTGTGTCCGCAGTGAAATCCCACTTTAAATTACTTTATGATGATGGTACAACTCCGCAACATGGCGGTCTGTTACCGAGCCTCCTACACTCTACACACATACACACACAAACACTTAGGTTTCTGTATATTCCAAATTACAAAATGTATTGTTGTACTGTTTGTTAGTTTTAAATAATGGCGATAAACCCACCCTCTCCCACACAATACACGATGCAATATCATCGATCAAATCTGTCGTTTATTGACATAATGTAGGCCTAGAACTTTTGTAAAATTTCGACTAAAACATGTAATAGTCTTTTGGTAATGTTAAATGGTCGCGGGTCAAGCAACCGTCATGGCGTAAGACTCAACTGCAGAACTGTAGAGAGTACTTGAATCTTTGTTTATTATATCAATGTAATAGTATAAGTTTGCGCGAGTTACTCGTGATGTCAAACAATTTAACGCTGCACGTTTGGTTGTTGCGTAACACTGATTCTCGAAGAAAGCGGAGGCTGAGGTATGTTGGTCTGCAGTTTATGTTCGCTTGCATCCACACACATACCTACATGTATCCGACATATCTATGTATCTAAGTACATGTATCTTATCTCACAGAGTTTTTTGTGGACACGCGTTTATATATCGAACAGCGCTTTAAACAAAATATAGTATTTATATAACATCTGATGGATCTAGTAGAAAAATAGTGTAGTCAATATAAAGAGCCACCTCGACACAAGTACCCGGCTAGGAGCATTGCGCAAACAGCTTGTACGTCGCGGGTCGCCCCC